GAGAAAGTCAAACCTTCAAACCACTAAACCGGGATCTATTGATGTAAAACTTAAAGTTTAATTAATTTACGTTATTTTAAGACCATCTTCCATTGTCTTCAATAAGTACTTTTCTTACATCTTACATAATTGAATTTCACCTGGTTTCTCATTTCCTCTCGAATCTAATCACTACTGAGTACGTGATCATTATCAGAAGAAAAAAAAACCCAAATTGTTCTTTAAAAAAAAATTTATTTTCATTATTATGTGTTCCTTTTTTACAAACTTGTATTAGACTTCTTCCAATAATTTATTACTTATTAATAAACAAATTGAATATTTATTATGAATATGACGGTTGATAATTATCATTGTATGTTCCACTAGAATATGTATTATCATCTGATGATCCTCCACTATTTTGATCATTATAATTATAATTATTATTATTATTGTCATTACTATTACTATTACTATTATCATCATAAGTTGATGGAGCATTATTATATGTTGGATTAGATCCAGCTGCAGCATATTCAATTGGTATTTGTCCTTCATTATATTGTCCACTACCAGTACCAACAAGTTGATCAAATTTACCACCATTATATTTTCCTTTAGAATGTATATTACTTTCAATATTAAATTTAGCTTTAACATTTTGTTTCCCATATGAATGTACTTTACCTTTTGTATCATAATTAACAAATTTCTTTTGATATTTACTACCTTTATGAAAATATGTAATTTGATGATATTTTAAACCTTTATCTGCATTACCATATGCTATAAATTTACCATGTGTATGTATATTACCATGATTATCATTACCATGATTTTTATCACCACCATTATTATTGTAATTATAATCATTATAATTATTTTGATAATTTCTATTATCAGTATATGATGGATTATAATTATCATATGAATATGAATTAATTGAATCACCGCCTATTGTATATGAGAACATTAGTAATAAATATGATGAGATAACACTTTTCATTGTCGTTGTTTCTGGGGTTTTTTTTTAAAAAAAAATTCTGTTCTGTTATGATGTTTAGTGTTACGTAATTGAAGATCTTCTTTTTAGTTCATTGATACCTTGATCAACGTTTTATATAGTTTTTTCTTTATAAAGAGTAAATCTAAATAAGTGCATGATATTACGTTATTATTGAAAAAATTATAACCAAATCATTTGAGTGCATAATTAAGTAATGAGTTATGTAGATAGTTTCTTCTCTCTTTTTTTTCTTTCTCTCTCTCTCTCTCTCTCTCTCTCTCTTGTTTTCTACAAACATAAATGTACTCGTTTCATTTAAAGTACATGTAGATCATAAGAAAGTGTATGATAACAATAAGAGAACTATTTTCTTTTTTTTTTAATGTTTAAACAAAGCATCATAATTATCAGAAGGGGTTTGTGGAGATTTTAGAAATTTCACAGATTGAAATCATGAATCCTAGGTTCGAATCTCGCGGGATGCGGGATTGTGGATGCACATTGCTGAGAAGTCCCATACTAGGACGAAACGGCCATCCAGTGCTTTCAGGTTTTCCATGGTGGTCTAGCTTCAATTGACTCATGATTTCAATATGTGAGATCATGATAAAATAACTTTTTGCCTTTGTTAGGAACTGTCGTTACTTTGGTTGTTTGCAGGTTGAATCTTTTAGAATACACTTTCGGTTGATAGAGTTTCCGGAGTTTTTTTAAAAAATGACTTTCTTTGTGCCCTTTTCCGGAAAATGCAGTATAACGATGATTTTTAAAACTCTCACATTCTCGATTCATAATTCCTGTATATCTCACCCAGTCATCTCCTGGTTCTTTCGTTATCTTCAAGTATTGGTAGTGGATATTAAATTGAGATGACTGTTCTCCAATGATTTAAAACAGCGTTTTAATTGTATCATCAAATTTATTTATTTATTTATTTCAACACATAAACATTGGTACAAAGAGGCACCATATATATATATATATATATATATATATATATATATATATATATATATATATATATATAAGGGCTGGAATACTGCCCGCCTGCTCAAACCGAAGAAGGTGGTTTACTTAGGGGACCACGCTCCGAGCCTTTGAATTGAAGGCCTAATCCACAAGGAAGTGGAGCAACGTAAGGAGATGCAGTCTCATGGTAGCCGGTGACCAACTATTGGTTCATGCGCCATTTGTTTGTTTAGGATACTAGAGCCCATATACACCACTGGCTTGGAATCAGGATTTTCCAACCCCCGTAGGTGGATCCTCTACATTCGCCGACCCGGCTAAAGCGTCGGACATTCGCTTTTTGTTCTTTCAACTTCGTAAACAACATCCCCGTCACGAGAAGGCAGTGAGTATGACGTCTCTGACAGTGGTTGTATGCATGTGGCCATGTGAGAGCATTTCGAGTGGGAGAGCTGACTCTCTTCGCTCTCGGACGTACTAGGGCGTTTGGGGGCCAAAACTGAAGTCCCGTGTGTTCTTTGAAATAATAAAGTTGCTGTAGCGTTCATGTTCCATCGTCCCAAATTCACTTCAAAGTATTCTGACTTTTGAGGCGTTGTCTAATCTGCAGAGATCAATATGGAACAAGTCTTCATATTTCTTGGACCAAGAGTCAAAAGTAACGCTTGCTACACCATCAAAATTAAATTTATGGATGGCATTAACGACTAAACCAGTATGCGATACTTGAAATTCACCGGAAGGGGAGTATTGCTGGGACAGGCACATTTTCTGCATAAGGGGTTCCGTGATTCTGATTAAAGACTGTTCAAACCGCTTCTCTTGACGTTCCATATAAATTTCTAGTTGCTCCAAAGGTATATTCATTATGGCTTTCCCCCTGTCACCACTGATACGTCTTTTAATTGAACGCTAATTGTTATATCTGGTTGTCTCTGGTTATTAGGTCGGAATCACTTATCACTTATACTTGTGGAAGCGAGGAACTACCGCTGTACCCACGACGAGGAAGCAGGAACACAAAGACTGGCAAAAATGAAGATTTACTAGCCTCAAAACATGACGAAGACGACTCTAACCAAAAATACACCCATTTATATACTGATTCATACGCCCATAGGATTAGAATGACACCACATATGAAAAATAATTAGAGTTATAACAAATCATATGCTGTATATCATGCTTAGCCTAGGTCATGTCAATTTTTAATACAAGAATATCGTATGTTATACAGAATAAAATATCATACGGGAAAACAAAACAGAATACTACACTGAGTAGTTATTACATTGAATTGAAACGGAAGCAATGTTGAATAAAAATCATGATGAGTGAAAGAATATAATTTTGACTTTTCATTCCATCATACAACCCTCCCCTATTTTTCTGAAGTTTAGATCCTGACTTCAAATTTTCTGAGTTTATCCTCCTCCACGAATTAATGTTGGATCCTCACATTCCCAAGTTACGATTAATGTTACTTTATTTAAGACATTTCTAGCATTGAATAGAGAATCTGATAAAAATGACTAGATGGCGAGGATAAACGACATTTGATATGAGGTCTTCAGGGTCTGATCCTTCTGCAACATTCCCATGAAATTTACTGAGAATCTCATTAGTAGATAATGGATCACCAGGGAAATCAGTATCTACCAAAATTGCATTAGGTTTTTGACAATCGTTTGATTAATATGACAAATTTTTCTCATTTTCGCAAGAAATTACGTCAAAAATATATGTCATTAAAAGAACCCGTATCTAGCCAAACGACTAGAGAATCGTGATAAGTAGATTCATCAGACACTTTTGTCGCAGAATGATGAATCCCATTTGGTGCAACTGCATTCATTATGCTGATCGATTTATTTTCTCTTTCATCGTGCGCGGGTACTGCAACAATTTCATGAGCATTTAACAAGACACCGTCTTTCTGTGAGCTCGGAAAGTCACTGCTTGTACATTATGTTTCGGGAATAATGGGATTTGAACCCAATACAGGGCATGTCTCTGGAATGGACATTACTGGACCATGGGGCGGATCATCTATGACTGTTATTGTTTTGTTTAAATTACTGCTTATAAGTGTTATATCGGAATCTGTGTCTAACTGTAAGAGGGCATCACACTCATTATTCTTGAGAGAAACATACTTTCTACGGTTATGAAAGCCGGCTCTTTTATGCAGTCATATCAGCCTTCTGTGATAAATTCATAATCATCAAACTGATTAGTTACAGTTTTGGCATTTTGATGTCCAATGTTGGTGAAGATATAAGTACAACTTGTCAGCAAGATGGATATATACTGTATAAAATATACCCATCAAGTGTATCAAGTATGATCATAACGGTAAATAAATAAAGTCTTTAAATCGAAGAAAATTGTCAACTATTTTCACTTAAACAGTGTAATTTCAATTCACTATAGACACTTGAATAAACAAATTTTGTCGTTTTATCAAGTGTTCACAGTTTCTTTTCAAAATCCTCTGAACAGAATATGTGTTAGTCAAAAATGTACAATAATATTGATTCTGTGATCAATTTTTGTAAAAACCAGTTTGTTCAACAGTACTAAGGAGATTGTTAAATTTCATATTTTACACCATAAACTGACCTTAGTTAGATAACCAATGAAAACCAGGAACCGGTATAGGGTTCTTCAACATAATGCATCTTTTTTATTGCTAGGGATGAAATTCACGACCTTCAGGTTCCATTCAAAGTGTTTAGTCTATGGATGATCAACTTGGCATCCAATAATTTATAGTTTTAACTTGAATCCGTTTTCGATGTTTTACCACCATCGTTTATTCTTATTAATGGCAATACTTCCTAATTGTCTAACTATGATCAGTTCATAGTGTAAACTACGAACAACAAATATGTGTTAAAGATATGCACTATTTAAGCGGCTAAGCGAAAAATATTGGTTTTGCTAAAGTCACCCACTGGTGACATCAAAATGTTTAGTCATTGATAATTCATTTATTGTGATGTATTAGTTTGATTAGTTTCATCAAAGTGAACGGAACTATTTTTGTCAAGTTAGATTAATTCATTTCATGTAGAAGGAATAAATATTCAACTTCATCCAACAAACATATGAACAAAATAAATATAAGATCCAACCTAACAAATGTTTCGAAGAAGGTTACTTTTATTGACATTATCATCCCAAAATCATACTACTAATAAAATAATAATAATAAAAAGGTTAAGAAAAGGTTTTCAAAAACAAATTTACTACAATCAAATGGAATACAGTTGTCAGGTAATCAAAACCATTGAAGATAGGTCGCTTGACCTCGTTACATCCACTTATGTTTACAAATTCAACTGCTCCTGCGGAGACAATTATACAAGACGCATAATTCGGCGAGTCTATTATTGTACGACAGAACATTATCTGTCTTGGTTGAGCAAAGAAAAGTTGAGTGTGATTAACAGTATTATTCTCGTTCAGTTGATGGACACAGGATATCAAGTTAACTTGGATGAGGTTTGTAAAATTATATAACGTGTTACATTAAATTTACTGCATGTTTTAATGGTTTATCTTTTGCGTACTACTGAAGCTAAAGAAATCCATATTCATAAATATATGCTTCATACTGTAAAGACGTTTACACTGCCCCTCTCTACCTTGGTTATCGATACGGAAATGAGTTTTATCTTAACTTTGACGAAACCTATTCTTTCGACAAAGAACTCGAAAAGTTTTTTTATTTCGAAGAGAGCAAGAATAATGGATTGAGCACAATAAAATCGATTACTTATAATACTTTAGGTCTTCATCAGCTGCTTACAACCAATACTATTTTAAAGGCAAAATTATCATCAACCTAACATACTAATAACAGTGTGATTGGTTAGGCGTGAATATGTATCATCATGGTGAAGCAGCAATTCAAATAAATGTAATGGGATTAAAGGGATATATATTTTCATGCCAGCATCCTTCACTTGACCATCACAAAACGTTTAAAAACTGACTTATTAAATAATTTGTAATCTGAAAGCCATGCAATTGCGTTATAAGCAGAGACGGATAGTGTCTAGAGGTGAAATTCACGACGCCCGTTTCACCCTATTTGGGACTCGTCAGCTGGATGTGCCTGCATTCCAGAGTTAATTTTCAGTCCGAGACTCGCCACCGCATTAACCATTTAGCTACTGAATTCTGATAGCCACTAGCTTGTGCAATGGGGTGAAGTTCAATTCAATTTTGTATTGGTTGTTTGAATCTTCCCTTACGATGTTTAGGACTGTAATTGATCAGTCTCTTATTGGCATATGTGAATCCTGTACAGATTTCCTCGATATCACCTTAGATTACAAGCATTATAAACAGAGATGGATGGTGGCTAGCAGCGGATTCCACTGTCAGCTACTATCCGTATGTGCTTATAACGCAATTGAATAGTTTCCAGATTACAATTATGTTTTTAATTTTTACAAATAATTACTTTGATTACTATAATCCTTATTCCAATTAATTAGTTCATTACTCAATAGTATTTTCACAGTCACTATCAAACTGTACAATTGTCATGTTACATCAATGCTTAGTCAGTACTATTTTATTACTGTAAATGTAGAATTTAGCTGTTTCCTTTACCTTGTATAATCATTGATGACTGCTTCATAAATATAACAAATACGTGATGAAACTTTTCAAATTTGGCTAAACCTTTCCAGCTGATCAGTTATATTTTACCATGATTAACACTAGGTCTGATGACAGTTAGTTTAAAACAATTTATTAGATTCTTGTTAGCAGTTCATTTTCATTGATCATGTTAACAACAGCTTTTTCATTATTTAGGGTTCGTTTGATCTAGGTACATTCCAGATAAATTTTCGATGCTCACATAGTGCGATGGTGAAGATTTGTAGCTCCGGTGAATGATTTTGATGGACTTTTGTTCTCTGTAGAAGTCTAAATGAAGTTTGTGCTGGTGATGTTGTTCAGAAGAATGATGAAAGCTCCCCGACCAAACCATCCATTTCGGAGAACAAAACTCTATCAAAATGCCCACATGTATTAAATGTTACATTAGACGCATGTTTTTCAGAGGAAAGCGAGAAGTGGATAACTAGCGAAGGCAGTTGATTTTCAAGCATTATGTTACATGATCAAAATCTGTCCCACTTATCTCGGTTTATCTGGTCAAGTAGGATTATAACCTCTCACATTCAGTTTCTGACTGAAAGCTAGGTACACGAGTCTGTACCTAGTGAGTCAAGTCAGTAACTTTTAAAGTATTTGATCCTTTACTGCATCTAAAATTAATTTATTCTGATAAAATGATTTAGTTAAACTTCTGATATCCTATTCATGATTCAATGTTCGATAATTGACTAATTTCAAAATGGATTTTCCGGAGTCCTGGTGAGAAGCCGTGACCAGTGGAATCAAATTCGTGTCAGATATGAAACAGTTATCTACCTCAGATAATAGATGAAAAGTTGCCCAAGCTCATGGATCGATTGAAGTTGGACATTAACAGATACAGGCTCACTCGTCTAGAGTTTAAGCGTTCGCACGCGAAACCGAAGGTCTTCGGTTCGACTCCCGCGTGCAGGATCGTCAGTATATACTGCTGGGAAGTCCCATACTAGGACGAAACAGTCATCCAGTACTTTCTAGGTTTTCACTAATGATCTAACTTAAATCAACTCATAAATTTCACTAATAAATTACTACAATCTTCACAAATCCTCATTCTACTAAATGTATCATGTTTAAATCTGACCATTATTTTAATGATTGTATCGCTTAATTTGCACTTGTATTTTATTTATTTTGCTTTCTTCTCTCATTAAAGTTCACTTAATCTTAACTGATGTACTTAATTTGATATGAATTAAAAGTTCACTATATAAATATACCTTATTTTGAGAAGAAAAAAAAGACAAAAAAAAAAGAAAAGAAGAAGTTATTTCATATTTGTGTTTACATTAAATCATAATGAAGATTTTATATGTTTGTTTATTAATTATTACATTATTTACTATGACTATTCAATATAATTATCAAACATATCCAAGTAATTATCGTAGACAACTGAATAATCAATATAGCCCTAGTAACCATTATTATTATTATAATAATTACGATAATAATAATAATAATAATAATAAAGGTAAACGTTATGATGGTAATAATAATAATAATAATAACCATTACTATTATGGTCACAATCGTAGAAAACATGGTAATTATTATCCATCTAAAAGATATACTAATAAAAAACCTAAAAAAATGCATCTTACAAGAAAATATCTTATGGAAGGTGAAGCTAAACATATTCATCAAAAACATGGTGAAAAACATATAAAATCAGTTGGTGAATTATTTGGTTTTACTGATACATATCAAGGATCTGATTATTCATTAACAACAACATTTCATAAAGGTAGTTTATCAACAAAATATGGTAAACCAAAATATTTTTCTACATATGATACAGAAGGACAAATTAAACATTATAAAAATACACATGGTCGTGCTAAATTTAATCTTAATTCCAAATTACATGGTCATGAAAAATATAAAGATTTGAAAGAAATGAAAGCCAATATAACATTTGAAAATAATGATGATACAACAGATGATGAATCGAATTATTCACCAACTAATCATCCATATGGAAAATTAGAAGGTTATTAATTCAATATATTATGATAATGAAAAGAAAACGAACCAATTCTAAGTTAGTTGATTGAATGTATATATAACTATTATACATGAATATATATATCTATGTATCATGTTATGAAATTGTACGTGTCATTATTGAGAATTGAGTAAATCATATCAAAGACGAACAAACAAACAAACAACTTCTTCTGACTTCTTTTCCCCGCTTTTTCTTCTTTTTTTCTTTTCTTTTTTCTTTTTAAATTCATGACCTTTCCTTTAAATTATTTATGATGTACATTTTAATTTGATTAAATAATAATGGTACATTTATACAGAATCATTTATTTTCTTGTCAGTTTTGTTCAAAATTATTATTTATGAATAAATATAGTTAAAAGGAATAATCAATTTATCACTGATTACTGATTGATTTTATGTTTGTTTAACTCTTTAATTGTGAATGAATTCTATTCATTAAGTTGTAATATGATCCTCTAAACTAAGTGATATAACATTGATTGTATCATATTGAAATGTTAGATAATTAGATATATACCTTAGTATATCTATCAATTAAGATGTATATGTAATCTTGAAGGTATGGTGAAATTCGAAATAGTATTAATGAACTATAATAAGCTATTTTATTTGTACGAATATTCGTCAAGATTAGAACGAATAGTTTGACAGAAATCGAGCGCCGAATATAGAGTAGTCATTATATATGAAAATTATATTCGAAATATTCTCAGCGATTGAAATTTAAATAATTCCAACCTTTCGTCCAGCAAACTTGTCTGAACTTCTTCAAAGTAATAATCAAAATGATGATTTGATGATTTTGATTATTACTCTGAAGAGGTCCAGACAAGTTTGCTGGACGAAACGTTGGAATTATTTAAATTTCAATCGCTGAGAATATTTCAAATATAATTTTCACATATATTTTATTTGTGATTTGATCAGTCACTTACCGTTTTTATTTATATTTAATAATGCTCAATTTTAAGGTATGAGTAAGAATATTAAACTGTTGCGTCAATTATTAGAATATATAAAACGTTCAAGAACTCTGATAAATTAATATGATGGAAAAAAAGTCAATGTTCGATTGATTTACTTATTATGATTCAACGTGAGGATAATGCAGTGTAGTAGTTGATTTGTTTTCTCAGTATGATATTTTCTTCTGTATAATATACGATATTCTTGTATTCCATTGGCATGAACTATGCTCAGTAAGTGATTTGTTATAACTGAGTATGTGATTTAATCAAAATGGGTGTACAATCAATATATAAATGAGTGTATTTTAGACTATTGTGATTCATTAGTATTATCGTCATTATCGTCGTCGTCATTGTGTTTTGGGGCTAATAAATCTTCACTTATACCAGTCTTTGTGTTCTTACTTTCGCGTTGTGGGAATTGCAGAGGTCACTCGTTCCCAGTATAAGTGATCAGCGTTTTTCCGGCATAGCAATCAGCGACGACCGAATATAACATAAATACAATTGTTGAACTTAAAGGCATAAAAATTATGTATAAAGTTATGTGAATTTATCATTTTTGTACAATGAAGTATTAAACTTGACAGTGAGAGTGAATTAGAACCAAGAAAGATATTTTATAACCTTAAAATATAACTGTTTCTTATTTTAAGGAAAGATGGATAGTGCCCCTCAGTAGAATGTAGGAAGCGCGTTTCGTTTTGAAACGAACGGTACTGGGTTTGAATTTCGGGGTGAACAATAACTCTGAGATGCAGGTACATTCACCTGACGATTCCCACATAGAATTATCCATCTTTGCTTACTAAGCTTGTGACTTAAGGCTATATTAAGTAAATCTGTACAGGATGCACATATGCCAACATGAAACGGATCAATTACAGTCCTAAATAACAATGAGAAGATACAAGTAAAACAACATCAAGTGTATTTATGTTTCTTATTTTTACTCAATTTTTTTAATTATATTACCTTTAGATAAGTCAAAGTAGATGTCACAAGATGCATTTTTGTTTTACCAGGGATTTTTGGCAAATGTCAACTTTTGATTAGACAGGTGTATGTGAGAGATCTTTATATTAATGTATAATGAGTTTATTATTTTCATAGACAAAACAAGTTATTACATGAATGTTAATAGAACCTAAAATTCAGTAATTATGCTTAGACTTTAACATTGGAAATTAACTTCTGTAACACAGTTCATTTGGATGTAACAGTTTGAAGATGGATTTGAACCGAACTTGAAATTCCAGTACGTGAAACTTGTATATATCTATCCGGGAACTAGATGGAAAAAATTGGTAAGGTGATGAGTTTGTGATCAGTCAACGTAGTGTCCAAGAAAGTTTATGTCGATTTATTTTGATCTAAGTGATGGTTTACTTTAATCTAGTGAATGTTTACAGATATGATTAAAAGCAGAAACCAATGGTAAATTATACTAGAATTTTCTCCCAAATTCTTCATAAAAGTGAAAGGAGTATCATTAAATAAAAGAATTTTTCCCTAATTGTGTTTTTAATTAAACCAACTCTTATTATGTACTAATCTCAATTCAGTTAATTTTTTTCTACTTGTCTTTCTCTTCCTTTCCTTATGCCTTCTTTTTTTCCTTACAAATGTATCTTTCTATTTATGTAGAACAAATTTTATTTTTGATTGAGATCATGAACCTATTGATGTTAGACCATCACCTTTGGAAACCCAGAAGCACTGGACGGCCGTTTCGTCCTGTTGTGGGACTCCTCAGCAGTGCGCATCCACGGTCCCGCTCGCGGGGTTCGAACCCAGAGTCTTCGGTCTCGCGCGCGAACGCTGAACCAACTGGACCACTGATCCGCCATCAATCGGTTCATGATCTCAATCAGAAACGTAATAATCTCCACAACCCCTATACTCGAAATCTTATTTTGTTACTTAATTGTACCATAAATAATAAAAATCAATGTCTATCAATAATTTCTTTTGATCCCTATATTCATAAAATATCAAGGAGTTGATGTATCTTGTCGATTGAATGCTACTTGCTATATCTGATCGTTGTTGACTGTTGTGTCGGAAAGGCTTATTACTTATACCCGAAACGATGGACCTCTGCAATTCCCACGACGCGAAAGTAAGAACACAAAGACTGGTATAAGTGAAGATTTATTAACCCCCAAAACACGACGAAGACGACTCTAGTCAAAAATACACCCATTTATATACTGTTTCGTGCACCCATTTTGATTAATAATTAAGATGAAATCACATATATGAAAAATACTTAGGGTTATAACAAATTAGATACTGAGCATAGTTTATGTCAATGGAATACAAGAATATCGCATATTATACATAATAAAATATCATACGAGGAAAGAAAACAAATACTACATTGAGTAATCATTAAATTGAATAAAAACGGAAGTAATCTTGAACAAAACTTATAATGAGGAAATTAATCGAAAACTGACTTTTCTTCCCATCATAACAGGAGTTTTCATTGATATTTCATTAAAAAGTACGTTTCTCAATTGATGTTTAGAAATCATGGATATAAGTAATAAAAGCTTGTTTTTATTGAAGGAAAATCAAGAACGCTAGAATACATTGAAGCATTATGTGTACATCAAATCAAATTACATGAACACAAAGAAAGTATGAAGATTGTTCTAGAAATAAGATAGGTAAACTTAAGATCATATCTAAACATTTAGATGTACAAAATTATGTATGATCCAGTTATATGATAATATTGTAAATAATGACAGTAATTATTTACTTACTTACGCCTCTTACTTCTCATAGAGGAGCATAGGCCGTTCACCAACATTCTCCACCGAATTCTGTTCTTGGTAATCCTTTCCAGCTGTTATCCATTATTTTGATGTCTGCTTCCGGTTCTCGGCACCGTGTGTTCTCTAGTCTTCCTCTTTTATATTTCCCTTCAGAATTCCAAGTTAGTGTGTAATAATCCCACGATCAATAAATTCTTAGTTTTTTTTAATGCCAGATACTGTCGTATTAAAGTGTTAAAATTGTTTGAACGCTTGATGTGTACACTTATATGTTTGTATAACTAGGATATTGATAGACATTATGAGCGTGATCAGTTTAGATATTTGATTCGCGATCTACTTTTCATTAAATATAAAGCAAAATCTCTTTTATGTAGAATTGAATATTTTCCTTTTGTTTTAGTAAAACAATTACCTTTATTTTTCAGTCATCTTGTGATCAGTGTTTTTTAGTTCTGAACTGCTCTATATAAGGTCTGAGGTCAACTAGTAGCTTGTATGGTGCGAAAGTGATACAATTCTAATTTCATTCAAATCATCTGAAGAGAATTGACTTTTAGCGTGAGATAATAGCACAAACTAAAGCATTAGTTATGAAAGTCTTTAGATATGTTATGTTCAGATTATGAGTATGGTTGACTAAAATATTAGACTATAACAAGGGTTAAACGGAGTTAAGTTTGATTGGTATTTATCATTGACCGTCTTACTGTACAAAGAAATACAGGGACAGTTTAAAGACAACTAAAAGCTTTCGTAATCACAACTTCCGCTTCCGTGGAGAAGAGTAGGGTATTAATGTTTCTTAAATAACCTTATTGAAATCAATTTTTTTTACATCTTTTAAACATTATCCAACAGCTGAAGTGCAATACAATTAATAAAAATAATTTTACCATAATAATGTTTCTAAATAATAAAACCATCATTAATGTAAAAATAAAGGCTTCAACATATTCAATTTACACTCTTCTCTGATGATATTACATACTTTTAAACTACACTATTTGATCACAAAGGGTTGTAAATCTATACAGGGTACTCAAGACCAACTTTAAAGTAGTGACTTAATACAATTATTCAGTGAGTCCTAAGTTTGCTTATATGAATTAACACCAATATGATTTGTCTAAGAAATATGTTTTTGTAATGAACTCGGCACTAGTTTCGTTTTAGGTTAATAGGAGAGTATATAGCAATTCAAAGTAGTTACTTTTAACTTTTCTGATGATGAACTGTAGAAACGTTTTTAATACTTAATTACGCGTGTTACCATTCGTGCAGGCGAATAGTTCACTAATCTGGATTCTTTAACCAACTCTGTCCTGGGGTTTCTTTTCTAGCTGTTTTCAACTTCTATTTATTCTTTCAATGTCTACTTCCAGTTTCCGGCACAATATGTTTTTGGGTCTTCCTCTTTTCTTCTTCCCTTCAGGATCCAAAGTTATGGGTCGCCTCGTGCCTCAGTTTGATGATTTTCCAAATATACATATGTTCTTAAGGTAATCGATAAACTTATATGATGAACACATTCTGTGGTGGCTTTATAGATGAAATCTCAAAAGATTATGCTTTTCATAATAAGATAGGAGGTGATTTCTATGCAATTATGTGGGAAATACATACAACTAGACATTGATGTGTACTAACAATGGTAGTCTTATCATATTTGTTGAAAATATATTTATTAAACTTATCTAAAATCTGAGTTGTGCGTTAAAAAGGAAACGACTGTTTGATCTTTGTGCTGGTTACATAAACTGCAAGTAATTACAATTCTGATTGGTATTTCAAAGTTAATTTTGGACATTATGTTTATTTAAAGTAATTTATTCAACGTTATTAGTTTTACATAAACTTTGATAAAATTCAATCAGCACTGAAAAGGACTTGATAAACATGACTCTGGTTACTTGTTAGTGATCAATTTCCATCCTATAGAATGTTACTATTGTCTCGTGTAGCGCAGTGACACTTGTTTCATACTGTGAATCTGAATGATAAGAATCAAATCCAACGTGAAGCATCAGGAGCTAACGGGTACACTTTATCAAAGAATCCTAAATAGCAAGAAAATTAGGTCCAGGATTGATTTTCTGTTGACTGTGTTTAATCACTTGACACTTATTAAAACTACTGCTGGGCTATTTTGATACAGGTTTACATTTATTTCTATAAAAATTCAGTCCCATAATAATACAGCATGCAAAACTCACTTAGAAATTTTGAGACTTTTGTGATGTACAAATATGGTTTTAATAAAAATAAACTATTTGAACAAATTAATTTACTGGCATACATAATCATTGCCATACTAGTTTGCAACATAAGGATAAATAAACGGTTAATGGAAAAGAAAATATTCCCTTTTTCAATTAGTTCCTCTTCAAGGCTTTACAGCAGTATATAAATTTATAAGTTGAAAATTAACACTAAATAAATAATGATCGGTTATTTTTAATGGTTGAGATCATGAGTCAGTTGAAGCTAAACCACCGTGGAAAACCTGGAAGCACTGGACGGTGGTCTGTTTTCAATTGACTCATGATCTCAACCGTTAGGAATTACTATAATATCCACAAAACCCCTTCTGATACTAATGATCGGTTAGTATAGCAATGTATATCAATATATGTTTTCTAAAGAAAATATTAATACTAATGGTAATAGTAATGGTGAGAATATAATTTATAAATGACCTTTGAGTGACGCTAAAGTAACCTTGAGAACGTTCATCTACTCACTAGGGCTAAATAACGGTTATAAACCAGTATACAGAATAAGTATTATGATTTACAGTGGATGGTTAGGGGTTAGAAATAAGATTTAGGATTTTCATCACGAATTGAAATCAGTTAAAATGCCAAAACGTTATTTAGCCAAATAGGTGAATGGATTTCACGCCGAAATTCAAGATCTGTTATCCTAAATCTGATTGGTCCGTTCATCAATTATAATCCCATAATAATAATATTATTATTATAGCAATAGGTAATCTATTCAAAGCTAACCTAGAAAAACACCAGGAAATGTTTAATTTCTCAATCTTACAATTTGATAAAAGTTTTTAATTTCAATATTTTCTAAATATAAAAATAATAATTTCGATGGTTGAGATTATGAGTCAATTGACGCTAGACTACTATGAGAAACCTGGAAACATTGGATGGTCGTCTCGTCCTAGTGTGGGACTCCTCAGCAGTGAGCATCCATGATCCCGCCTCGTGAGATTCCAACCCAGGACCTATCAGTCTCGTGCGTGAGCGCTTAACCACTAGACAACTGAGCCTGTCGGTATCCAACAGTGTTAATGTCTAACTTCAGCTAATCCTCGAAATTAAGCAACACATCCATCATTGTCTTCAATGAATTACTATCTCATAACAAACCCAGTTGAACTCAAATAAAAGTTTATTTCAAATTGTAATTTCTACGCATCAATGTTTTGAATAAGTGCGGAATAACAAGAATAGGGTATCAAACATAATTGATTTACTTAACTATTCTAAGCCTGCACTTAACATTTTATACGCAACCTAAAGAAATAATTTATACAATATACATGTTCATATAAATGAGTAAACATATATATATCCATATATACTATTGAAGCACTCTCATTTTATCATTTACAATAAAATATGCTATTCACTAAGTATTATTTAATAGGAATAATAATATATATTACTTTAATTAATTCAATTTATACATATTCTAATCATTATTATAATGGACTTTTAGAACATTCTAGAAAAAATTCATATGACGCTATAAACTTTCCATTGAAAACAATTCATGGACGTAAATATGATATGGAAGATGGAGCTGGATTTGTACCAGATAATTATGGTAATCATGATAACCACGAAGATGAAGATTATGATTCATATCATAGTAATAATTATGATGATGGTGAAGAGCATAATTATGGTCATGTTAATTTAGCAGAACAATCAATGAATAAATTAAAAGAGTTAAAACGTCGTAAATACAATGAATATTATAAAAAAGATGATGAAGAAGAAGAGGGAGAATATGGTAAACATGATGATGATAAACCACATGAATATCCAAATGAAGAATCACCACAACGATCAACTGAAGCGCCGAGAAGAACTACAACCAGGCCAAATTCGTTGGCAGAGTAAAGTATTCACCTACTAATTGAGAGTATTCAGATAATGAATTAAAAATATCAACATGTAAATGAATTACCTGACTTTTTAAATGATCTAATATCATGAATATATGTTGTACGATTTAATAAAACAATAATGACATCAACTGCTCATTAATATATATTTCTTAGCGTAGGGGATTGAGGATACTTTTGAATTTTGTAGTTTTAAACCAGAGATTAATTTTAATGACATAACTAATAAAAATTAGTAATCATTTGATAGCTGTACCGTCTTAGTATGGGACTCACCGAAAGTAGGCATAATGTTTTTTTTATTGTTGTCGATTTTATAATCTCAATTGTATGGGATAACTTCATAGGTAATATGGTAAGTTTTGTTGTTGTTCTAAAATTGTCACCATTTCTATTATTATCTTACTAATTAGCAGAACTATTTGAATATAAACGAATGATTGGGTGTTAGAGACATTTTGTTTCTATGTAATAACATTTTATATTGCATTAATTAGTGATTCTCTATGTTGTTTCATTCACTCACACTACTTTTAAATGTCCATTTCCTACTACGAGAGAACTGTTAATGCGAAACATGTTATAAGTTTTATAAGTAAATACACATAATTATCTGTTTTACAGTATTTATTAACTTATATGCTACTATGATCGAACGTACATCCAGACAAATTTATATTGGTGGGTAATTTTACGAGTGGATTACTCATCGAAGGAATCAGTCATTCTCTAATGATGACACCATTTTATGACGGTAAACTATTTTGAAGATACCACATTTTGGGATATCTTATTAAGGCGGGGATACATATGAAAGAAAGAAACGATTTCTTATTTCATCAAGAGTCAAGATACTATTACAAAAAGATAACATTTAGTTAACTGAAACGTGAGTGGTGTGTTTGGATTGTAGCTAGAGCTTAAATCAACGACGTACATTCTGTCTTGTTTGGCGTTTCTCAGCTTAATATACCTGGATCTTAGTATTCGTATTCACACTTGGACTCAAACCCAGTACAAATCTCTTCAAACACTAGGAAGTTATACATTACTGAGTAGTCAAGGCTTCACCAACAGGTTCAACCGGTGGAGTGTTTATTCATATAGATTTATTTTGTCCTGTTGCTGATTTTCAAGGTTTATTTTTAATCACTCTTTTTTGCAATATTTTTTAACCTGAACGCATTTAATTAATATAGATTTTTTCGCTACTGAGTGAAATTCAGTCTTAAGTATCAAGAATAGAATAATAAAAACTCTTAAAAATAAGAAAAACTATTGATTTCTGAAACTAATATACAGCACATTCCTAGGTAATCATTGCAATACTCCGGAAAAGGCATTGTATTCGTTTTCTACATCATTAAACTATGCAATCGAATGTTATTTTCTTAACGGAAGTAGTAATATTAAAGAGTATATATATATATATATATATATATATATATATATATATATATATATATATATATATATATATATATATATATATATATATTCACAAAGTTCAATTACACGATAGTGAAGTATTTAGTTGAATACTTGTGTAAGTCTTTGAGGTAACTATAAGTAGTCAAATTCAGTTTGTCAAGAAGTAATTCCGATTTTGCTCTATTAGTCTCTCCAATATTCGAATTAGAAATAATTTCGCTGGCAAAACGGGAAGTATTGACTAGGTAATCCAAATTAAACACGAAATATTGTATAAAGAAATCATTATTGTATACAATTATCATAGTGTTCTTTGATACAAGTCGATTGTTTCATATTACATTCATATACATAGTTATTAAATAATCATTCGTTCATGGAAGATGAAGAATAAGATACATCTGTAAAGTTATTCGCAAACTAAATGAAAATATTTCAATAAAAATGCTAAATGTTGATTCTTATATTATTAACCCTGAGTAATCAATTGAATTCAATGTAAAACAATCGGTCCTATTTATTGTCTTGAAAATAGATCTATGTGATTAAGTGATTTCCTATTGTCTAACTAAGCTAACTTCTTACCAGTTATCTATGAAAAAAAATATCCGACTTTGCGCATAACAGTAGAGTTTCCAGAAAAATGAACAGTTTGCTAGTTAGACAATATTCAGCAACAATAACACTGACCTAAATGTTTAAAGTTTATACAATTGAGTCAATAAAATTATAGTCGACTATTGACAAATAAACGTGGCCATTAATAGTTGAAGATACTCGTAAGCTACAAGTATTTGACCACAGATGCCTTAGAAATATTGCCAGCATCTGCTAGGATCACCAGGTAAGTAATAGTGAGGTTAGACGCAGGGTATTAGGGAATGATGATTAATCAGTTGATAAGGTTTTGAATCTTCATCGACTGAGATGGTTGGGCCATGTGTTACGTACGCATGAACACCGATTACCACGACGCGCAATGTTGACTAGTGTCGGAGACTGTTGGAAGAAAGTTAGGGGCGACCAAACCAAAACGTGGCATCAGTGCTTGAAGTCATTAATATCTGGTCTGAACCATGTTGATAGATGCAGACTACTTGGTTGGGGTCCGCGTGACTACTCTAACCAATGGTTGGAGACTTTTGGTGACATGTCTCAGAATTGATCACAATGGCGTTAGTGTATACACTCCTTGTCTTTCCTTAAACTAAGAGATTAAAATCGCTTCATATCTTTCTTGATGTGAACTAATTCTTTCTCCCTTATATGCAATCTTTCTTTTATATATTACCACCATTGAATTTACTACTTCTATGAATTTGGTGTTCATCGCGTTGTGTTAGTGAGGTATGGCAACTTGGATCGATGCATATATGTGCACGGTCCTACGCTGTAGCTGACTGACTGACAAATGATCCCGTTATTTTTTAAAATGGAAGATGATTCAGCAAAGAAAATTTTCTAAATCTGCACTGTTTTGTTTTAAACAGCTTTCGATGTGAAAAGCTATCCGATTATGATTAGCAATAAGGAGTCATAATCCCAAAGAAACTTGATGAATAAAATTCGGTTTTTATAGACAAGTAGTGTAGTGAACGAAAAACTCAAGTATGGAAACTAATGCACATTAAAGAGTGATTTAGCAAATTATGAAAACCAAACATCAAATACGTAATTTGCACATCTTCCATCAGTTGTCCTTTACACCATTTATGATTCTTTCAATTCTGTTGTTGTTACAATTACTTTTTGTCCCTCTTTCGGTTCTCTTCAGCTCAATCCTTTCTTGACAGGAATTCTACATCTGATTGGTGTTACATACTACTTATATCTGTCAATATAAGTAGCATACACCATAGTAGCGTTTGAGGTACTGTGTACTAAGCTTGAGTTTCAGTAATAACGTCTTTAATTCTTAAGATATGGTTATCATCTGTCAGGAATTAATAATCTAATAGATATGATGTATTTCGTTACTAATCACTAACGGACTTAACGCAGCTAAGCAAAAAGACAGTAAGAAATTATACGTAAAAATATTAAAAATTTATTCCATATGCGAATTTTGTATATTAAGAGTGTATAGAACATTTTGGTATAAATAAATTCTATGGTTGGTAAATTAATTATAGATCACAATTGTATCAGATATAGTTATCTCTTGATTGACAATAAATGATGAATTTTGCTCGAATTCCACTATTTACAGATATCCTAATGACTTCAAGCTACACAGTGATCCAGATCAGAAAGACGTTGTTGTGAATATACTTAATATCGAGTGACAAACTGATGAGCATAGTATACATAAAAAGGAGATTGACCTTGATTTCACTACATCACTGGTAATTTTATCCATTACAATGAAAAGAGATTGATTCCTATATATGAGAAAGCCGTTCTGTTTTTCACCTACTCAAACTTTCGAGGTCTTTCCTTTCCCTAATAAGTGATTTATTTATGCTATATTTATAACATAATGTAATTTGATAAAGATCTTCTCAATCTACCATCTAAAAGTGGTGGTATGGCAACTCGAACTGATGTATATACGTACGAAGTTCTACGTTGTTACTGACTGACTGACTGACCATCTAAAAATATAGTTCCGTCTAGAATTCCTTTACGCAAAATGTTTACTAATGATATTATCGAATAAAATAGATAAGATAATCAAGTCAGGTTTCAACTTATAATATATTAATCGATAGAAAATATGACTACTACCTATCCCTCTCCCATCACAACTTTATAACTCATTGAACGGCAGATCACAAAAATGCAGCCTAAGTGAATGAGAGTATTTAATTAAAAAATCACTATATATATATATATATATATATATATATATATATATATATTGCAAAGCAACCTAAAATTAGATTGCAAGTGACTACATGATTAGTACTAATAGGCTCAGTACCATAATAAATGGCTCAATAAGATAGTTTTCACTACGGAGAGGGATCAATCACAATCTGGAGTAAGAAAACTTCTGTCTGACTGACCAATAAATTAAACTGTAGATTTCCACTTTAACTGCTTTACATCAAGTGTTATATGAGAATACATTCACTGTGAGATTTCGCAATGCTAAGGGAGAATATCAATGTTAACAAAATTAATACCAATGGTTGGCGTTCAATCGTTTAAACTACAAAAAATAGTCAGTTGATCACTGTTTTCTGGTTACTGAATAGCATAGGATTTCTAGTGACCATATAATACATGTTATAATGACCATTATTTCCTAGGTTATTCAATCAATCAGCTTTAACCGTGGTTTATGTGTAGACAACACTGAATTAATTAATGGAACTGGAATGAACAAGGTTCAAAGCTGCATCAAAACAAGAGAATCTCGTCATACACTCGGAGAATTCAATTAGTATGTGCAAAGTATTGCGATAACTTCCAAGGGTGACCTTCATTTTCAGTTGCTAAATTTTACGAATGATTCAGTAAATTCTAACGAATATCAGGTGGCAGTTCTTATGGAAGTATTTTGTGACGACTAGGTAAATCAGGTGTTATTTGTCACAGACTGACGCCAATCGATGTACCATGAAAAACCAGGAACCTTGAATAGTTGTTTCACCCTAGTACTGGACTCCTCTGTGGCATGCACTAAAGGTCGTGACTTCAGTTACTAGCCTAATTCTCGATGCATATTCTTGAGGAGACCAGTGCCAGGAGAAACAACTGTTCAGTGGCCCTAGTTTCTACTTGTACCTCAGACGATATCAATTGGTGACGAATAGAAGATCAGTTAGTCAACTGTCAAGTCTCACAGCAAAACTACCAGACATTTTAATTTAATTAATTTATTATCATCAATTTAAAACCAAGTTTAATGTAAATCGAGTTGCGTAAAACGTTAGCTAAATACTACGTAATACATATCTTTTTGTCATACTTAATATTCTAATTGTTGCTGACATCAAAATGTACTTAGTAACTGTGTCATATGAAGTAACAATTCATATAAATACGTATATATGATCAAGTTAGCCGAATGCATAGAACAGTTTGGTTTATTTCCCTTAGTTATCATTGCGATGGAAGAAAGGACTATTAATCTTCATTTAATACTACTAATTACATATATAACAATCAATTTAGTAACATTAGGAAATACGCAAATGTCCATGAGTCAATCATTGATGGAGACGATTGACAGAGCACAAAACGAAGCAATGAATGTAACTAGCAGAGAAGAAAGTTCTTCCGGTAGTGGGAGAAATGATATGAAATTGATTCAAAGCGATGGCAATTATTATAAGAAGAGACAATCAAACAAGGCAGGTGGTAAACGCTATGAAGGTCTTTTCTATTCTCGTGGTTATTCAATATTTGGTGATATTGATTCAGAAACAACTACATTTCAGTATGGTGGTAAAATCACAAAATATGGTAAACGTAGTCGAAAATATTCCGACAGAGATACAATTGGAAGTTCGGATCGATATTCTAGTTCATATATTAAAGATGACTTCAAGATTCGAGCTAAATCAAAGAAAAAATATGCAAAAGATTATAATGGAATGTCTGAAATGACAGGGAGGGATATGCAAATCTCTGGTATTCGGAATAATAATGGAAATAAAGGAAGAACAGAAACTAATAAAGATTCACAATCGAGAGAATCGCGTAACAGAACTGAAGACATGAGAAACTTTAATATGCATTAGTAGTTTCAAATGCAGTAAATCACCAGATGTGATAAATATGTTTTATTCCACATAGAATCAAATTTATTTATGTATAAAATAATGTCAACCACTATTTTGATAATTGTTAAACAACATATGTATCAGAAAATAATGCAAGTAATATTATCAATAGTTCTTCCAAAACGTGAAAAGAATTTTACGTTTGTTGCGCTATTTTCTTACCATAAATAGCAGTTCGTGTCTAGCTAGAAGGTACTTTGTATACTGGGGGAGCGTGCAGAGTAGAGCGAATGGGAGGAGCTGGTAAAGAGACGACCGAAAGAAAATGTGAGTAAACGACCTAGCAAGTGCACAAAATCCACTTACAATTGGTAAGAAAAACATTCGACGAAAACCAACAATAAAATAAGCCAATAATATTGTTTTCAATTAGAGCATCACCAGACTTTACTGAAGAACATAAACGGCTAGGGGTGAAAAATGACAAACGAATACGGAGTGTGAAAGCACTAATAAAATCGTTTATTGAGTCGTATCGGACCAAGAAATGAACAAGGGTTTCAGGAATTTCTTCTGAACTGAAACTAGATCTGTAGGTTCGGATCCACGTAGTTTCCGAGATGTGTATTAGACGGGATCGAACTCCACTGGGAAATGACTAAGGTTTACGATAAATTATTCGAAAAGATTCACCTTTCTTTATCGTATGCTCACTAAATATGTGAATATTCATAGATATTAGAGTAAAGACTGATGACCATCTGAGTGAAAACAATATTGTTCGCTTATGCGTTGTTCGAAGAACAGAAGCCTTGGACTGAGACCATCTGGAAATTGAAACTTGAAGCGGATAGTTGAACCAACCATACCATATGATCTTCGAAACGCTAACACAAGTTTTTGCTTTGATAAAACAAATGTGAATAGAACTAATCTACAGAGATGAAGAGCTTTCAAAACTTTTAAGGAATTTAACGTAGGACATTTCAGCATTTTTATTTACTTCATATCACCTCAGACTCAATATTGCAACTGTAAAATCGAGAGAAGTCTAGGACGACGTTAGGAGGACCTGGAGATTTTCAAACCACTTTTCTCCTATTGAGTATAGAATTTGTACGATTTTAAGTATTTCCTATCAAATAGTGTTGAGATCTGTTAGTGGTGGTTTTGAGAGCCACTTTATTTTCCCATTATCTGTTTTCCTATCTCAATGATGTGGAGTTATTACTGTTGTGTATTTAGGCTCGCTTTTTATCACGTAATTCATTCGCCAATTGAAATACGACTTATTCGCTCTTGTACTGTACTAAACCAATGACGTCCGACCAGTCTGATTAGCCTAGAATCCTATTGGTCTTTTGCTTGCCTAGCCCGTTGAATTTCAAATACTTTAGGTTGTAAGCAGATGATGAGAACCTAACGAAATGAAATGAATTCAGATAATTCTGCACCAATCTTTGTTCTTGCTATCTTTAAAATAATGAAGGGAACTATGTGTATGAAATGAATCCAGAATGCCAATAACGGGCTCCACTACGCGGATCATTTCTTCCAGACATACTCGGCTTACATACCACGCAAACAGACCGTATCGTACCGTAAAACAGACTGACTGAAAACAGGAAATAACATTTATACACAATAAAGCCAAAACTTGGCTGTGAACGTGGGAGTCAGTAGTTAATAAACTGAATATAACTTAAGAACAGTAAATCGCAATACGACTTATTCGCTCTTGTACTGTACTAAACAAATGACATTCGACCGGTGTGATCAGCCTAGCATCCTATTGGTCTTTTGCTCGCCTAGCCCGTTCAGCTGACTCCACAATGCCAATAACAGGCTCCACTATGCGAATCATTTCTCTCAGACATACTTAGTCTACATACCACGCAAACAGACTGCATTGTACCATAAAATAGGAAGTAACATTTATACACAATAAAGCCAAAACTTGGCTGTGAATGTGGGAGACAGTAGTCAATAAACCGAATATAACTTAAGAACAGTAAGTCGTACAATAATAATCTATAGGTCAAAATGAGGCTTATGATAAGAGGAATATAGATTTACATAGTCTAGTTACTGAATAGTTATACCATAAAAATATGTAGATAATATTAGTCCATTAATAGGTCTCAGAAGTTACTCGTAATTTAATCTTCGCTAGGATATAACAATTACAACACAGTCTCATTTATCGCATCGTAAACAAATTCTTTTTAAAGCTTTCTATCGCAATACGTATCATACTCACAAATATTTACACGAAAAGTTCAACATCGTAATGTTTAAAAACACTGAGATGTGGAAGCCACATGTGGCAGTTATTGTCGATTTTACCAGTCCTGTCTTCAACTACCTCGGTTTTAATATAGTGGACAACTTACATGGTCAGTTAATCGATAGTTTACTATGAGCAAAGCTAAGTGTCTTAGGTGTTATGTACAATCTACACTTTAAAAGTGTGTATCTAACACACCTAACACTATGATTTTCAATCTGTAATGACAAGTGATATATTATAACATTTATTTTAGACAATTCGATAACTAAAAAAGTATTTCTACTAGGCCTCTAACACGATAAGAGGAATTGGTGTAAGAACTATTCTGATGAATTAACTCGAGGGCGTAAATTATCACAGATTTTACATCCGGTTTATCTTCTACCAGTTCAGCTTCGTGCTTAATTTCGATAAAACGTTGAAATCTTAGTTTCATGTACTGGATATTCATGGATGATTCACGTCTTCCACAAATAAAGAATTCTAAGTCTGAAATTCAGGAACAACTGGTGCATTAGTAATACGTGCACTCAATTTAATTTGATCACTTGGAAATTTAAGCATTGACAATTCACGTTAACAGCATAGATTTGATTACACACAGTTATCTTCACAAAACTGTGAAGGATACTGAGAGATGACAACAACTGACGAAAATGTTTCGTGTGAACATCCGAAAAGGTTAATCAAAAGTGAAATCAGTTAAAAGGTAGGTATACTGTTTATGTCATGGATAAATAAAACTGCTATCGTTGGGAAAATGAAGATGAAGTAAACAAAAACGTCAACCTATATATTTCTTGTTGTTAACTTTAATAACAAAGTCAATAGTATTATAAGCTATGGTGGATGGTGGTCAGCAAGCATACCCATCTGATGAGTTCAAAATAGAATGAAATGTGCGTCCTGTACAGCACTGATAATCACTATCCATCTCTTATTATAAGAAATATGAATTGATGGCAGAATCGAGGCAACCTGTACAGGGTGTACACACACCAAAAAAGAGAATGATCAACTGCAGTCCTAAATGTCAATTGAAAGATAAATGAATTAGAGTCAATAGAGTAGTGAACGAAGACTTGGTGGATAAAAGCGATTTATTATCATACGCGAAAGCACACAGTTGTCCTTTAGCATTCACACAAGTTGTAATTGTAAATCTGGAAGTATATATCGAAGATGAAGAAGGAACATACACTATACACCATAACAAGTGGGTAGTGTTTACAATCAATAGTTCGTCTTCATATCTATCAAACAATAAAGTTGAGGATTACAGATTAAATCACTTAGCATCCGACCATCGTTACGATTTCAAACTGTAATGTACAAATTTCAGTTTAAACAGTCGTATATTATTACTGAGCTTTAAATAACAACTTGGTGGCATTTAACTGGAATCAATTCTTAACGAATACAACCTACAACTTGAAAACCGACCTCCATACAACTAACTCAACGAAGTAATAAATCAAAATTGGGAATAACCACTCAGTGGTCTAGAGGTTAAGCGTTCGCACGCGAGACCAAAGATCCCAGGTTCGTGTTCCGAATATGGGGTCGTGGGTGAGAACTGCTGAGGAGCCCCATACAAGGACGAATAGGTCGTTCAGTGTTTTCAGGTTTTCAATGGTGTTCTATCTTAGATCGACTCGTGATTTCAACTGCGAAATAATAAATATATAAAAATACCCATCATATTCGAACACTTACATTTGAACGAAAAATATTCGTTCCAATAAATAAAAGACCAAGGACAGGACCTTGTGGTATGATCTCTAGTTTGTTAGAATAAAGCTAGTGCAATAAACGACCAGTCAACTGAGTTTCATTTTCAAACACTTCTGACGTTAATCATGTTTCTAAGACAGCAATGACATCCATGTTTCCCAATATTCACCATTGTCTTGAGCTCTGCCATTTTATATTGCAGGCAGCGAGCATTTGTGCAGCACACTTTTAATTCTGTAGAGAACTTTCCCTTACCACCCAGAGTGATTTGGAGATCGTTTTACTTCGAAATTTCACAATTTGAAAACCCTTAAGTACGAGGTGTTTTCACCATTTCGTCGGCGGTCGTTTCTTAATGCGGTCAACTAGGCTGAGATCCCCATAGACGTATATTCCGGACCCAATCGGTTTGCGTGAGTTTCCCAACAACAGGTTTCTTTATTCAGCCAAAACACGGGTAACCTTTAAGGAGAGGCTTTTCTGAGTACTTTCAGAATACACTTTTTGTCCTGTTCTATAAAGATTACAGATGCTAACTCCGGCAACTGTTTCTGGGAGTAGCTTGCTTATAAAGGAATTAATTTAGCTGAGGTTATGCTCAAATCTAGCCTTTTTTCGTTTTCGGAAGATTCTCATAACCTATGAAAAATGGCTGACCTGTCAGTGAGGTCCATTTTAACACGCTATGGAATTTTAATTCCTCAAATCTTCTCCTCCCTGCAATCCGATTTGGCTTCAAACGTTTTCTTACTTTTCTTCCACTGGGTATGACTGTAATAAATAATTAAGTAAAATCACAATATATTTGCTCATATTCACGATAAACGGTGGAGGTATGATTATTATATCTGGATGCAACAAAACCAGTAACTTATTATTTATAGCAATTCTCCTACAATCAATTTCGATTATGGTTAATTTTGGTTAAGCCGTTTTATTAATTTACTTAACAGACTATGTTGTTCCAACAGTAAGCATTCGCATATTTGTTTGTAGTATTATCATTATCTACGCGTGATCACATTACAGACTCAAGCTAAAATATTGATAACTCAAATTTCGCTTGATGAATCATTCTCTTTCCTATGAACATATGTACTCGAATCCTATAATTAGCCTTTGTCTTGTGCCTAGCTGCGCCTTATTCGATTTGACTATAAATTTGCCTCTGTACTTGCTCGCATACACATTTGCCTTTGCTTCAAATTCGCTTGATGTGCTTATAAACTTGGTGATTCGTGCTATCCACCAATAAACTGTAGTTACCGCTTCTTATTGCCTCCTGATTTCAGACACTGTTGGAATTTATATAATGACGGTTACAAATGTGATTGATTAACAAAACAAAGCCACTACATATTCATAAACTTCAGTTAAGCCATTATTAAAACTATCAATCTGAAGAACCCATTCTACATTCAATACTACGATAGTCAATTAAACTTTCGAATATGTGATAATCTGTTTGAATTACTACAAACAGAACAATAATGACAGGATTCTGTTTGTATGAAAGAAACATTGAGAACTAACATGTATCCAAATAAATCATGGATAGAAATGGAATTATAATCCATTAAAGAAAATAATTAAGTAAAATCACAGTTTATTTGTTCATATTCACGATCAACGACCGTGACATGATTCTTATATCTACATACACCAAAACCAGCAACTCAGTATTTATAAACTTCAGTTAAGCCATCATTATAAATATCAATCTGATGAACTCATTCAAAATCTCTGTCGTAAATTAATTTAGGAGTCATAAACAACACTTGGTGGTGCAAACTTTCTAACCATTGATATAATATCATCAGTTGTCTTTTCTATTAAACTAAATAGCATTTCATTTTAAAAATTATTAAACTTGGACAATCAATAAAGACCTATAAATCGCCTTTAAAAAAATTGAACTAGACTTTAATACCAGGATATTACTTGTTAATGTGTGAAATTAGCTGGAAATAATGTTAGTTTTGTGGGTTCATTCCGACTGTGAAGTTCATATAGAAAAAAACATTTCTCAATAAATAGTTGATTCAAAGATACTTACTTACATACTAACGCCTGTTACTCCTCGTTCAGGAACACAAGTCGCCCACCAGTATTCGCCAATCAACTGTGTCCTGGATAATCCTTTCCAATCGCTGTTCATCGTTTTCATGTCTGCATCCATTTCCCAGTGCGATTTGTTCCTTTGTCTTCTTCTTTCCACTTTTCCTTCAGGATCCCAAGTTAGCGCTTGCCTCATGATGTAGTTTGATAATTTCTATAATGTGTCCCATCGACTTCTTTCCAATTAATATTCATACTTTTCATGTCTACCTCCAGTTCTTAGCTGTGTTCTTGGGCTTTCCTCTTTTCCCTTTCTCTTTACGATTCCAAAAGACGGCTTGCTTAGTGATGCAGTTTGATGATTTCTGAAATGTATGTCCTATCCGCTTCCAACATCTTTTCATAATTTCCTCTTTAGCTGGAAGTTAATTTGGTCTCTCCCACAGTAGGCTGCTGCTGACAATATCCAGCCAACGAACATTCGGTATCTTGTGTAGACAATCGTTTATAAATACTTGTATTTTTTTATGATAGATGTGGTAGTTCTCCAAGTTCCAGCTTGGATGTTCTTACCTAAGATTATGACTTTGATATTGACTGACAGTTGTTCTGAGTTCCATATGTTGCTCGACTGTAGGAATGCTGTCCTCGCTCTTACAATCCTTGCTTTTAAGTTTCTATCAGATACGCCACGTTCATCGATGATGCTTCCCAGGTACGTGAAAGATTCCACCTCTTCCATAGTTTCTCGATCAAATGTGAGTGGTTCTATGTTCTCTGTGCTGTATTTGAGGATCTTCCTTTCCCTCTTGTATATGTTGAGGCCTACTGATGCAGAAGCTGCTGCTACACTGTTTGTCTTCACCTGCATTCGTCCATGTGTATGAGATAGAAGGATTAGATCATATGCGAAGTCCAAATCTAATTGATTGCGAGCTGTCCACTGTATTACGTGCTTCTCCTCAGATGCTGAGGTTTTTATGAACCAGTCAACCACCAGAAGAAATATATAGTGGGAGAGTAAGCAGTCTTGTCTGACTCCGGCCATTACTTAGAATGTATCCGTCAACTATCTTCCGTGTATGACTCTGAAATGTAGTCCATCGTATGAATTCCGTATGATATTGACGATTTTTTCAGGTACACCAGTGTCAAAGAATGTTCCATAAGATCCTCCTATCCACTCCATTAAACGCCTTCTCGTAGTCAATGAAGTTGATGTACATTGATGAGTCCCACTGATTGTTCAAGGATGATACGTAGTGTCACGATTTGGTCTGTGCACGACCGATCCTTATGGAATCCGGTCTGTTGATCGCAAAGTTGGGCGTCAACTGGAACTTTCATCCGGTTCAGCAACACTTTGTTGAAACATTCTCTCGCTACCTCATGTCCGCAACTATCTGGTTGATCCTCCCGATCTCCCACACCGTCCAGTCATTCCACGAACCTATGTTACTGCTGCCCTGGCTATTAGAAGGGGCATTGGCCCTCAACTTAGAAGGAGAGTTTAAATGGTTTACTTGTTTCGTTAGCATTCATTTGACAAGGTTGTTTTCTACAGGATAGGATTTCTGACTGAATACCCAATCGTTCCATTTTAACCGCGAATAGGACCGGCCGAAACAATAGAAGATAAACAGGAGGAGTTTAGATTAAAAGTTACAACCAAATTATAGAAAACTTCGAATTAAGTAAAAGTGAAATCGATTAAACACTTGGAAAATATTATAAGTGCATCATTTACTCGAAATCAAAAGTCAAGCACCATTATGTAGTTCAACCAACAAGTGCATATAAAAATGACTAAAATATACGAAAAATGTCACCAAATATTAATTGAACATGCACAAAATGAAGTTACTTAGAAAAAATGCCACAAATAAATAGTGATAAAACTCGAGAACAGAAACGTTCGCGTCAACAAAAATGAAACTAGGCGAATACTCATTTTACATATTAGCCACTGCAATTCTAATCATAATAAGAATCAATAAAAACGTGGAAGCAAGCGGAAAAAACACACATGGACAACGAAAGGGACGTGATAATTTACGACCACCATTATCTGGACGAAGAAACGGAACATTGAGTGATCTCTCCGGTGAAAGTGGTCCACGAATCCACATAACTGTCAATGCAAGTGGATCGAGTTCACATCATCATGGTAATTATCCACCAGTATTAACTGGACGAAGAAACGGAACATTAAGTGATCTCTCCGGTGAAAGTGGTCCACGAATCCACATAACTGTCAATGCAAGTGGATCGAGTTCACATCATCATGGTAATTATCCACCAGTATTAACTGGACGGAGAAACGGAACATTGAGTGATCTCTCCGGTGAAAGTGGTCCACGAATCCACATAACTGTCAATGCAAGTGGATCGAGTTCACATCATCATGGTAATTATCCACCAGTATTAACTGGACGAAGAAACGGAACATTGAGTGATCTCTCCGGTGAAAGTGGTCCACGAATTCACATAACTGTCAATGCAAGTGGATCGAGTTCACATAATCATGGTAATTATCCACCAGTATTAACTGGACGGAGAAACGGAACATTGAGTGATCTCTCCGGTGAAAGTGGTCCACGAATCCACATAACTGTCAATGCAAGTGGATCGAGTTCACATCATCATGGTAATTATCCACCAGTATTAACTGGACGGAGAAACGGAACATTGAGTGATCTCTCCGGTGAAAGTGGTCCACGAATCCACATAACTGTCAATGCAAGTGGATCGAGTTCACATAATCATGGTAATTATCCGCCAGTATTAACTGGACGAAGAAACGGAACATTGAGTGATCTCTCCGGTGAAAGTGGTCCACGAATCCACATAACTGTCAATGCAAGTGGATCGAGTTCACATCATCATGGTAATTATCCACCAGTATTAACTGGACGAAGAAACGGAACATTGAGTGATCTCTCCGGTGAAAGTGGTCCACGAATCCACATAACTGTCAATGCAAGTGGATCGAGTTCACATCATCATGGTAATTATCCACCAGTATTAACTGGACGAAGAAACGGAACATTAAGTGATCTCTCCGGTGAAAGTGGTCCACGAATCCACATAACTGCCAATGCAAGTGGATCGAGTTCACATCATCATGGTAATTATCCACCAGTATTAACTGGACGGAGAAACGGAACATTGAGTGATCTCTCCGGTGAAAGTGGTCCACGAATCCACATAACTGTCAATGCAAGTGGATCGAGTTCACATCATCATGGTAATTATCAACCAGTATTAACTGGACAAAGATATGGATCATTGAGTGATCACTCCGGTGGAAATGGTCGCTGTATTTACATAACTGTGAATGCAGGCGGATCGAGTTCATACCAACATCAAAATTTTCCACCACGATTATCTAGACAAAGATATGGATCATTGAGTGGACACTCAAGTGGCAATGGTCGCTGTATTTACATAACTATCAATGCAGGTGGATCGAGTTCATATCAACATCAAAATTTTCCACCACGATTATCTGGAAGAAGATACGGATCATTGAGTGGCCATTCCGGTGACAATGATCCACCTATCTACATAACTGTGAATTCAGTTGGATCGAGTTCATATCAAAATCAAGATTTTCCATCACGATTATCTGGAAAAAGATACGGATCGTTGAGTGGTCTCTCAGGTGAAAATCATCTACGTAACCACAAAACTGTGAATGCAAGTGGACAGAATTCATATCACAAAAGATATGGAAACCACGGTAAATTTCCACCAACATTCTCTGGACGGAAGTATGGATCAATGAGTGATCTCTCCGGTGAGAATGGTCCACGAATCCACATAACTGTCAATGCAAGTGGATCGAGTTCACATCATCATGGTAATTATCAACCAGTATTAACTGGACGAAAAAACGGAACATTGAGTGATCTCTCCGGTGAAAGTGGTCCACGAATCCACATAACTGTCAATGCAAGTGGATCGAGTTCACATCATCATGGTAATTATCCACCAGTATTAACTGGACGGAGAAACGGATCACTGAGTGATCTATCCGGTGGCAATGGTCCTTCTATCTACGTTACCTTCAATTCAGATGGAAAGAATTCAACTGATCATGATCGGGGACAAGGAGTTACTTCACCACCACGATTATCAGGTCGCAAATACATGAAAGGTAAAGCGTACGATTTTCTCCCTGTTTTAGTGTTCTATGATATAATCCATCTGGTCTCACTTACTCGAATATACAGCACGATTATTTTATTCAATTATTTGAACAACTAAATATTATTACAATCGGGCACCATATACATATGAGCCTCACAATAGCAATGAAGTTGTGGAGAGATAGGAAATATGAAGCGCGTATATTAAAAGAACAACAAAATAAAGAAATTACTGTTTAAGAGTAAAATAATAATAATTATTACTATAGTGGTTGGTGATCAGGAAAATTATGTGTTGCCTGATTCCGTAGGTTTTCAGACAACCATTTATTACACAGATCTCAAAACTCCATCTTATCAAATAAATAAAACAAATTTGTCGTATAGTAAAGCAAAACAGAAAAATCAAAATATTTTAACTGACCGCACACGTGGAAACAGCCTGTCATCAAATAAGACGAATAAGCAGTCTAATGTTACGACTCGGAGCAAGAGAAATGAGAGGTATAACACTGTGTCAAATAACATTGCATCTAAAAACGAAATGGATTCAGAGACAGGAAATTTCTCTCATAGTGACATATATTCGGAAGTCGAAATAAATCGAGACGAAGTTATGAACAATTACACCTGTTTCGATGAACATCCATTACAGGAATACAATGAATATGGCAATATTTCAGCTTGATTCACGATTCTCATTGAAGCGTAATATTATTGATCAGTTGAATATGATAATCTTTCGTTGTAAAAGTCGACTGTGTTCTGACAATTTCTGTTATTTATATTCATTCAGTATGAGAATGGTTTAATATAACAACAACTGAAGTCTGATTATTTAAATCTACCAGATAATTACTGTGAAGTGAATCTGTAAATAGAAATATTGTATATATATTGTAGTTGCAGACTGGAATCGATAAGATAATCGAAACAGGTTTCAATTTATAATATATTAATCGATAGAAAATGTGACTACTACCTATCCCTCTCCCATCACAACTTTATAACTCATTGAACGGGAGATCACAAAAATGCAGCCTACGACAGTGAATGAGAGTATTTAATTAAAAATATCACTATATCTAAATGGTCACCAAATTTATACCAATGGTTGGCGATCAATCGTTTAAACTACAAAACTCAGACGACAATCAATTGACAACCATACTCTAGTTATTGAATAGGATAGGATTTCTGGTGATCAAGTAATACACTACGGAGAAGGATCAATCACAATCTGGAGTAAGAAACCTTCTGTCTTGCTGACCAATAAATTAAAATGTAGATTTTCACTTTAGCTGCTTCACATCAAGTGTTATATGAGAATAAATTCACTGTGAGATTTCGCAGTGCGATCATGGCTAAAGGAGAATATCAATGTTAACAAAATTAATACCAATGATTGGCGTTCAATAGTTTAAACTACAAAACACAGTCAATTGATAACTGTTTTCTGGTTACTGAATAACATAGGACTTCTAGTGATCATGTAATACATGTTAAAATAATCATTATTTCCGCAAAATGTACTTAGTAAATGTCACATAAAGAACAAATTCATATAAATACGTATATTTGATCAAGTTAGCCAAATGCGTAGAGCAGTTTGGTTTATTTCCCTCAGTTCTCATTGTTATGGAAGAAAGGATTATTAATCTTCCTTTACTACTACTAATCAGTTATATGACATTCAATTTAATAACATTAGAAAATACGCAATTCTTTATAGGTCGATCAATTGAGTACATGTTTGAGAAAGTAGAGGGAGAAGTAATGAATGCAACTCACAGTACTAGCGGAGAAGACAGTTCGTCCAAAAATAATAGAAATGATTATTATAATAAGGGATTATCAAACAAGGTAGGTGGTAAACGCTATGAAGATATTTTCTCCTATCGTGATTATTCAATTTTCGATGATATTGATTCAGAAACAACTACATTTCAGTATGGTGGTAAAATCACAAAATATGGTAAACGTAGTCGAACGGATTCCGACAGTATACCGACAATTGGAAGTTCGGATCGATATGCTAGTTCATATATTAAAGATAACTTTAAAATTAAAGCTAAATCAAAGAAAAAGTATGCAAAAGATCATGTCTATGGAACTTATAAATCTAATAAAAAACGTGGAGGAAGAAAAACTAATAAAGAAACAAAATCGAAAGAATCGCGAAACAAAACCGAAAGAACATCTTAAGCCGAAAACTGGAAATTGGATATGCAGTTACAAATGCAGTATATCACCAGATGTGATAAATATGTTTTATTCCACATAGAATCAAATTTATTTATGTATAAAATAATGTCAAACACTATTTTGATAATTGTTAAACAACATATGTATCAGAAAATAATGCAAGTAATATTATTAATAGTTCTTCCAAAATGTAAAAACAATGTTACGCTTCTTGCGCTATTATCTTAGCATAAATAGCCGTTCGTATCTAGCTAGAAGGTAATTTGTATAGTGGGGGAGCGTGCAAAGTAGAGTAAGTGGGAGGAGCTGGTAAAGAGACGAACAAAAGAAAATGTGAGCCAACGATGTAGCAAGCGCACAAAATCCACTTACAGTAAGAAAATTAATAGACGACAACCAACAATGAAATAAGCCAACAATATTGTTTTCAATTAGAGCATCACCAGACTTTACTGAAGAATATAAACGGAAAGGGGTGAAGAATGACAAACGAATACGGAGTGTGAAAACACTAATAAAATCGTTTATTGAGTCGTATCGGACCAAGGAATGAACAGGGGTGTCAGGAATTTCTTCTGAACTGAAATTAGGTCTATGGGTTCGGATCCATATGGCTTCTGCTATATGCATTAGACGGGATCGTACTCCATTGGCTCAGGTTTACGATAGATTACTCGAAATGATTTACTTTTCTTTATCGTATGCTCACCGAATATGTGAATGTTCATAGATATTAGAGTAAAGACTGATGACCATCTGAGTGGAAACAATATTGTCCGCTTATGCGTTGTTCGAAGAACAGATGCCTCATACTGAGACCATCTGCAAATTGAAACTAGGAGCAGATAGTTGAACTAACCATACCATACGATCTTCGAAACGCTAACACAAGTTTTTGCTTTGATAAAACAAACATGAATAGAACTAATTTACACAGATGGAGAGCTCTCAAAACTTTTGAGGAATATAACGTAAGATATTTCAGCATTTTTGTTTACTTCATATCATCTCAGACTCAATATGGCAACTGTAAAATCGAGGGAGTCTAGGACAACGTTAGTAGGACCTGGAGATTTTTAAGTCACTTTTCTCCTATCGAGTATAGAATTTGTACGATTTTAAGTATTTCCTATCAAATAGTGTTGAGATCTGTTAGTGGTGGTTTTGAAAGGCACTTAAGTTTTCCATTATCTGTTTTCCTATCTTAATAATGTGGAGTTATTACTGTTGTGTATTTAGGCTCGCTTTTTATCACGTAATTCATTCGCCAAACGAAATACGACTTATTCGCCTAGCATCCTATTGGTCTTTTGCTCGCCTAGCCCACCCAGCTGACTCCACAATGCCAATAACAGGCTCCACTATGCGAATCATTTCTCTCAGACATACTTGGTTTACATACCACGCAAACAGACCGCATCGTACCATAAAATAGGAAATAACATTTATACACAATAAAGCCAAAAACTTGACTGTGAACGTGGGAGACAGTAGTCAATAAACTGAATATAACATAAGGACAGTAAATCGTACAACAATAATCTATAGGTCAAAATGAGGCTTATAATAAGAGGAATGTAGATTTACATAATCTAGTTACTGAATAGTTATACCATAAAAATATATAGATAATATTAGTCCATTTATAGGTCTCAGGAGTTACTCGTAATTTAATCTTCGCTAGGATATAACAATTACAACACAGCCTCATTTATTGTATCGTAAACAAATTCTTTTTAAAGCTTTCTATCGCAATACGCATCATATTCACAAATATTTACACGAAAAATTCAACATCGTAATGTTTCAAGACACTGAGATGTGACAGTTATTGTCGAATTTACTAGTCCTGTCTTCAACTACCTCGGTTTTAATATAGTGGACAACTTACATGGTCAGTTAGTCGATAGTTTAGTATGAGCAAAGCTAGGTGACTTAAGTATTATGTACAATCTACACTTTAAAAGTGTGTATCTAACACACCTAACACTATGATTTTCAATCTGTAATGACAAGTGATATATTATAACATTTATTTTAGACAATTCGATAACTAAAAAAGTATTTCTACTAGGCTTCTAATACGATAAGAGGAATTGGTGTAAGAACTATTCTGATGAATTAACTCGAGGGCGTAAATTATCACAGATTTTACATCCGGTTTATCTTCTACCAGTTCAGCTTCGTGCTTAATTTCGATAAAACGTTGAAATCTTAGTTTCATGTACTGGATATTCATGGATGATTCACGTCTTCCACAAAGCCAAAACTGGACGAAGAAACGGAACATTGAGTGATCTCTCAGGTGAAAATGGTTCACGAATCCACATAACTGAGAATGCAAGTCGAGCGAGTTCATATTACAAAACATATGGACAGCGGGGTAATGGTCCACCACGATTATATGGACGAAGAAACGGATCATTGAGTGGTCTCTCCGGTGGCAATGGTCCTTCTATCTACGTTACCTTCAATTCAGATGGAAAGAATTCAACTGATCATGATCGGGGACAAGGAATTACTTCACCACCACGATTATCACGACGTAAATACATGAAAGGTAAAGCGTACCATTTTCTCCGTTTTAATGTTCTGTGATATAATCCATCTGGTCTCACTTACTCGAATATACAGCACGATCATTTTATTCAATTATTTGAACAACTAAATATTGTTACAATCGGGCACCATATACATATGAGCCACACAATAGCAATGAAGTTGTGAAGAGATAGGAAATGTAAAGCGCGTATATTAAAAGAACAACAAAATACAGAAATCACAACCCCTATACTGTTTAGGAATAATATAATAATTATTATCATTACAGTGGTTGGTGATCAGGAAAATCATGTGTTGCCTGATTCTGTAGATTTTCAGACAACCATTTATTACACAGATCTTAAGACTTCATATTATCAAATAAATAGCACAAATCTGTCGTATGCTAAAGTAAGACAGAAAAATCAAAATATTTTAACTGACCGCACACGTGGAAACAGCCTGTCATCAAATAAGACGAATAGGCAGTCTAATGTTAGGACTCGGAGCAAGAAAAATCAGAGGTATAACACTATGTCAAATAACATTGCATCTAAAAACGAAATGGATTCAGAGACAGGAAATTTCTCTCATAGTGCCATATATTCGGAAGTCGAAATAAATCGAGACGAAGTTATGAACAATTACACCTGTTTCGATGAACATCCATTACAGGAATACAATGAATATGGCAATATTTTCGCTTGATTCACGATTCTCATTAAAGCGTAATATTATTGATCAGTTGAATATGATAATCTTTCGTTGTAAAAGTCGACTGTGTTCTGACAATTTCTGTTATTTATATTCATTCAGTATGAGAATGGTTCAATATAACAACAACTGAAGTCTGATTATTTAAATCTACCAGATGATTACTGTGAATTCAATCTGTATATGTATCACAGTTGTAGACTGGTTCTGTCTTCGTAATGGTTGAAGTCTTGGTCAGGATTGTTCAAAACATGGTGTTAAAGAATAATCGCAGTGTGTTCAGTAGTAGGTTAACATGCTCAGATTGTGTAGTGAATATTAGGTTATAACTTTGATGATAGGTTTGATATGCAAGCTATATCTCAAGTAATATATAGTTGAAACTATTTTCTGATCCAGATTACAACGCGTTCTACGAGAGTTTGTATCATGAACAATCAAAATGGTAAAACTGATTTTAAAAAATTGGGCTCCTAAATTTTTAATAAAGTATTCTAATGAAAACAACAAATAATTATATTCATTTGTAATCAGTTATTTCAACAAATTTTTGATTATTAAGTTAAACTATGATAACGATTCAGAAAGTATTCAATGTTTTCGAAAAAGAGAAAATAACTTACAATCCAATTCAGCATTAAAATAAACTTGGTACGGGATAAAACTGATAACATATGGATTGTTTAGTGATTGGAGTGGTTGTCTTATGTCCGATCCCACTATAGTGTCGAGTCGCTTTGCAAATAAGTGATATAAATAATGTTGCTCATACAAACTGTGGGTTACATAAGAAAATAACTTAAGTTACTTATAAGATTACAATTGTAATATAATTTTTGAAAATTTTTAACGGGTTTTCAAACTAATAACAACACATAATTATTTATAGAATACTAGATTAGATTCATGTAGTTTCGTGGCTAGTGGCCAAGTATATAAACCAATAATTTATAAACAATATTACCTTTTAAATGAATTGGCAGTTCTGTCACCTCCCTTTATTATCGCATAATCCAAAAGCGAGATTGAGCAAAATGAAATAACAGTTTACATCAATATTCGTGTACTTTTGGATGAGTGATAACGGCTCCAAAAGTTAATGAGGGAAATAGAAATCACCAGATCCGCGGAAATATTCTCATATACAATTCTTATCAAACATCCACAGAATCCAACTTTTTAGCGGCAAATATACTGGATATTGTGATACTTGCGAACAAAGGAAATTCCCTCCCAATAAATCTACAGTGAGATTTCAGTTATCAAAAACTTGCCTTTTTTATTTTCATTTAAACAGTGTAAAGATGATTGAACATTTAAACTCATCCTCTGATAATTTATGGAGATAAAGCTAACCTAAACCAAACCATTCATAAATCTCAATTGATTTTAAAATTAACTACCAACCTACGTATCGATTTACGAAACGTATAGTGCTAAAAGATTGAACCTATTCTAATCCATCTCACCTCTTTACTAGGTTACATCTTACTTGATAAAACCCTACTTGATGTAGGTTAATAGTAGGAGAAGCAATCCAGTTATTCCTGATCTTTGTTTATTGAAACGATTTTTGCTTTGTAGAGATAAGCTGCTCCTGTCTTGCTGTGTCATTCTTAAGTCTTTTATTCGGCGTTCTGTTTCAACATATTCTATTTTTCTCAACCGTCTTATGATCACTATGTCCCGAAAGAAAAATGTTTGGTAATTTCGAAACAGTAACTGGTGATTTATTAAAACAATACTTGCACAATATCACTTAACTTCTTAGTTTTTGATTAAAAACATACTGTCTACTGAATTTCTTAATAGTAGTTTATCTGGAAGTAGCAACATACAGCAAGTATTTGATAAACAAGTGGTACAAAGAACGAGAATTTGGTAATTTCATGACTAATGTATAGAATTTTGGTGAATAACTAATCAACTGTGTACCACTGTAACTGTTGAACACAAAGAAATTTAGAAAGTATACAAACTGACAGAGGTACATTGTTTTACATAAAAGACGCCTGTGTGATGAACAAATATGACATGTCAGATGGGTTCTGTGGATATTATGGCAATTTCAATGGTTAAGATCATGATTCAGATTAAGCTAGACCAGCATGGAAAACCTTGAAGCACTGAACGGCCGTCTCGTCCTATTGCGCGACTCCTCAGCAGTGCGCATCCACACTCCGCCCCACGGGACTTGAACCCAGGACCTATCAATCACGCGCGCGAGCGCTTAACCACTAGACCATTGAGTCGGTATCCAACGGTGTTAATGTCTAACTTCAACTAACTACGAAACTGAGCAACACATCCACCACAACAGACCTGGTTGAACTCCGTTTGTCACTACTTCTCATTAGAACTCCAGGATATACCTATTGAAGACGGTCACTAGTGAGCATATGTTGAAGTTAGACATCAACACTGTTGGCTGCCGGCCAGCTCAGTGGTGTATTGGTTAAGTGCTCGCGCGCAAAACCAGTAGGTCCTGGGTTCGAATCTCGCAGGGGGCGAGGTTGTGGATGCACACTGCAATAGAACGAGACGGCCGTCCAGCGCTCCCAGGTTTTCCATGGTGGTCTAGCTTCAACGGACTCATGATCTTAACCATTGATATATGAAATGCCATCCCATATTTCC